ACGGCGTTGCGCAGCGCCCGCGACGCCCGCTCAGACTGCGTGCCCACAAGGTCATTCTGCTTCGTGCGCGCACCGCGACTGCGGCGCTTGTGGCCCATCTTGTTGGTGTGCGCGTGAGGGCCTGTCGCTGCCGACGATGATGACAACGGCGACAACACAGAAGGGGGCGGTGGGGCTGCCTCTTGTAGCGCAGCCACGGCCGCCACATCCTCTGGTCTCAATGCATCCTCCCACGCAGACGGGTCAACGACCCTGTCAGACATGGTGTGTTGTCGTGTTGTGTGTTGTGTTGTTGTGGTGTGATGTGTGACGGATGGGTGATGCGTGGTGTTGTGGTGGTTCTTCTTCACTCGTCACACCTTGACCCTTCTCACTCACTTCTTGCTTCCTTGACCAATGAATGCTGTTCAATTGCTTGCTGCCCGTCAGTGAGCTTACGAAAGAGGTTGTCATGTAGCAAGGGGTGGGGGAGGGGCAAGTGCCCACTCGCACTCAACGGTTGACTATGCGTGGATGTGTGTGTGTGTGTGTGTGTGTGTGTGTGTGTGTGTGTGTGTGTGTGTGTGTGTGTGTGTGTGTGTGTGTGTGTGTGTTTATGGCTGCTGGGAGTGCGTGCAGGACGCAGGGCTCCTGTCCTTGCGTTGGAAGAACGGCACATCGTCTTCATCAGCACTGGACGTCGGCGACGACGACGGCTGGTGCACGTGCTGCAGCAACACATCCCGCGGCAGCACATGCGTGAGGTTGTGGTGGGCGGCGTCGGAGCATGGCGTGTTGCCGAGCTTGTCCTTGATGACGCAGCTCGCGCCCTTGGAGATGAGATACGTGGCAACCTTCTCATGCCCTGTACGGTGTGCGTGATGCCGGCGTTGACACCAAGCGAGCAAGCAAGCAAGGAGACAAGCAAGAAGGTCAATCATACGAGCTCGCCGCCCTGCTCACATGCATGCGAATCTCATGTGGTCTACGGCATCCATGCGACCCCTCATTTGGACAGCCCAGCCTTGCTTCTCCCACCATGCCATTCATGCACCACCACGACCACAACCACCACCACCACCACCAGCACCACCACCACCAAGCTCGTACCGCGCACGATGGCCTCGTGGAGGGCGGTGCGTCCGTCCACGTCTGTCTCGTCCACGCCCACGCCGCGAAACTCGATGATGCGTTTCACCACATCCAACTTCCCGTGCGCGGCAGACTGGATGAGCAGCAGCGACAGGCTCTCCTCCGTCGCCCGCGCAACCCGCGTCTTCGTCCTCTGCAGTTGTGGGGAACGAGGTACGTGTGCGTTAGTGAGCGTGTGTGCGTGAGTGTGTATGTGATGATGTAAGCATGTGTGTGTGTGAGGATGTAAGCATGTGGGTGTGTGTCATTGTAAACGGCACAACACAAACGCATCCAAGAGGCCACAGCTTCCACCACCAACAATCACCACCACCAATCACCACACCTGCGGGCGACGCAGGACGTTGCCAAAGACGTGCAGGTTGCGATGTTCCTCCACCAGCCGCTGCGCCACGTGCAGCCCTCGTACAGAGTTGCCCTTGCGGTCGAGACGCGGGCTCCAGATGGCGATGCCAAGCTTGCCCGGGACGCTGAGGAAGAGGGCGCCAGACACGCCGCTCTTGGCGGGAATGCCAACCTCAAACGCAAACCGCCCGCTGTAGTCGTACATGCCGCAGTTGTACATGAGCGAGAGCGCATTCTGCACCATCTCGGGCGACATGATGTCGGACTCTGTGATCGGGGAGACTCCGCCGTTGGCAAAGGTCGCGGCAATGGCAGCGAGACCAAGGCAGTCGCATGACAGCGAGCATGCGCTGAAGTACAGCTCCAGCACCTCCTGGATGTTGGCGTCGGCAAGCAGCTGGCTCGTCTCGCTCATGAAGTAGGTCAGCGCAAAGTTGCGGCTGGCAGTGGCAAGCTCGGACAGGTACACGCTGTTGTCGAAGGTGACTGGCGTCACGTGTCCAGCCATCTCCTCCACAAACGCCTTCACCGCCTTGTACGCAGCCACCTGCAGCGTTCGTGGGGTTCACGCACCAAGGTTGGGGGGGGGAATAACATCGGTGACGTACGCATGTCAGCGGATGTGTGAACGTGTGTGTGTGTGTGTGTGTGTGTGTGTGTGTGTGTGTGTGTGTGTGTGTGTGTGTGTGTGTGTGTGTGTGTGTGTGTGTGTGTGTGTGTGTGTGTGTGTGTGTGTGTGAGCATAAATCAGAAAACGCAAAAGCAAAGACACGGCGTTGCAAATGAAGAGCCGTAAGCCTGTGTGAGTTTGTGGCTTGTGGGGTGTGCGCTTACGACCACACACATTGCACACACACACACACACACAGATAGAGAGAGAGAGAGTGTGTGTGTGTGTGTGTGTGTGTGAGTGAGAGAGTGAGAGAGAGAGTCAGAGAGTCAGAGAGTTAGAAAGAGAGAGTCTGAGAGTCAGAAAGAGAACATACATACACACACACACACACTGAACAAATGGTGTCACCTTCTGCTTGAGGTGTGTCCAGATGATGGCGGAGGACATGATTGCACCGGCGTTGAGCATCGGGTTGTGCGGATTCTTGTCTTCGTCCAGCGCAAACGCGTTGAAGCGCTGTCCGCTTGGCTCGTACCCAATATGGTCGTGCACTTCCTCCCACCCGACCAGCGACTGGGCGAGGCAGTACAGCAGCGGCTTGCACGTTGACTGCAGCGTAAACGGGATGTGTGCATCACCGTGTACCCACGTCTCGCCGTCACACGACACCGCCGCAATGGCAAACAGCTCCGGGTTGACGGCTGCCAGTTCTGGGATGTAGTCTGCCTGCATGCCGTCCTTGATGTCCTTCGCCTCCTCATACAGCTGCTGCAGCGTGCGGCAAATGTCCTTGAACATGCTGCCAGTGGTCGGTGCGCTGTGTGTTGGCGTGGGGCCTTCCGGGCTTGGGGATGACACCCCAGATGTGCCAGTTGCGGGTGTCGGTGCCTCTGTCGCCACCTTGTCCACCTGCGGCAGGGGCGCTGCACGCTGCTCCCGCCGCCCTTGTCGCTCCTGCGCAGGCCGTTGCTGTTGTACATGTGCTTGTGCTTGTTGTTGTTGGCGCAATGGATGGTCGCCCTGCCTGCCATTCTGCTTCTGTTGGCTCTGTTGGCTCTGTGGCTGAGTGTTGTGGTCGCGTGACGATGCCTGTGCCTTCAACTGTGCAGGCGCTTCCGCTGGCGCTGGGTTGCTGCGGCCATTGCCAGCACTGCGACGCGGTCGTGTGCGCGACTGCTTGCCAACACCGGGCACCGTCTGCTGGCGTGTGCGCGGCGAATGTGGTGCTGTTGCTCCATTGCCGGCACGACCATTCACAAACCCGTTAGCAGTGCGAGTAGCTGGGGCAGTTGGCACTGCTTCTTGCTCTGCTTCTGGTTGCTGCTGCTCTTCTTCTTTTTGTTGCCCTTGTAGTTCTTGTTGTTCTTGTGGTTCTTGTTGTTCTTGTTGTTCTTGTTGTTCTTGTGGTTCTGGTGGTTGTTTTTGTTCTTGATCTTGGTCTCCCTCCTCCTCTTCCTGGCCCTCCTCTTCGTTTGCGTGTTGAGGTTGCTGTGACGATTGCGGTGCTTGCGCATGCGTGGCTCCCGGCACATCTTGGTCTTGAGCCACAGCAGGAGCACTTGCCATTGCCTCCTGCGTTTCATTCTGCTGCTGCTGTTGCTGCTGTGGATGGATGGGCGGCAAACGCACCCTTTCTTCGTCGTCTGCGTCCTGTTCCCCTGGTCTGGCGGTCTGCTGCTTTTGCTGCTGGTGCTTTTGCTGTTGGTGCTGCTGCTGGTGGTGCTGCTGATTCTTTTGTCCGCTGCCTGCACGAGCCAGTGCGTGCCCCGACGTGCGGCGGCGGCCTCGCCCACTGCCGGTCGGCGTGACCTGCACCTTGTTGTCTTCCGAAGCTGGGGGTGAAGGCGCGATTGGTGGCAGCTTGGTTGGCGGCTCAATGGCACTGCCGTTTGCACCTTTGGTGTCCCTGGACCGAGCAGTGCCGCTGCCACTCCCACTGCGAGGATCGGGCTCGCCTCGGGTGGCGGGCGGGGCGTCGACAGAGTCTGGCCGAACTTCGTTCGTGGCTGGTTCAATTGCCGTGTTGGCGCCATGGGCTGTTGCGCTGGAGCGAGCACTCCGGTCTCGCCCCTGGCTCCGTTGCTTTGGCGAGGTTCCTCGCTGTTCCGCCTCAGGGACGGTGGTTGTTGGTGTCTTCTTCCGCGCTGCGGTGGTTGCGGATGCCCGCTTTGATCGGGCTGTGGGTGTCAAAGTCGCGGAAGCGGCAGGGGACTCTTGTGGTGTGGGTTTCTTGACAGCTCTGCTTCGATCGGTGGCCACGCTTGTTCGCGGCCCTCTTCCCGAGCCACGCCCGCTACCGGTACCATCGCCCTCACCGCCGCTGCCTTCGCCACGCCCTCTCCCTCTTCCTCTCCCTCTTCCACCTCCCTTCTTCATCATCCCAGCAGAGCGGCGCACGTCTGTTGCAGACTCCTTCGCGCTGCTGCTTGTTGTGTGCTGTTGTTGTTTGGCGGCGTCCATTGTCGTCAGCGATCCATGTACGCCTGAATTCAGTCGTGTAAACTGAATTCAGTCGTGTAAACTGAATTCAGAAGGAAAGATCGAGGATAGAGGAAGAGGAAGCGAGCAGTGCTCCAGCTTGTGGACATCATCATGGGGTCGACTGGTGTGCGCATCCCGCTCGCGGTGTGCACGGACGACGCGCAGCATGCCGTGTCTGCAACGTTTGCCACACGAGACAGACAACACGTGGTCACAGGCACAAGGACAGGCCAAGTGCGCAACTCTTTTATTTTCTTTTTTTGTGTGTGTGTGTGTGTGTGTTTATGTGTGATTGCATATATGCGTGTGTGGATAAGTGTGTGCGTGTGTGCTTACTGTGTCCTGAGTGGCATTGCAACTGCTGAGGAATGACACTTGTTGCTGTTCTGGCTGGATGATGCCATGCGATTTGACACATGCAGCCTGTTGGGCTGTGTGCTTCTATCACTGCACTATCGCTGCATGTGTTTGCTCACTTCAAGTACACCCCTCTTCCCTCTTGCCCCCATTCCATTGTTGTAGGTGTGCTTCTGGTCTCTGAAGGAAGACAAGGTACAGTGCGCAGCCATGTCGCGCACAATGCAAGCACACCCATCATCCATGGCGTCAGCCATCCAGCACGCACACTGACTGCAACCGCCCTTTGCATTCTGTCAGACCTCGCTTGATGTTGCGTGCACTTTCGATCTCACAGTGTCTCATGTATGTATGCTTTCACCGACAACTTTCGTCGTGTGTCACGTGGTTTGGGGCATTTTGTCAGATCACGCCGGTGACCCTGTCTCTCGTCAGCAATGCAGAGGTCACGTGCATCACAGAGTGCTGGCGCGACTACCACAAGGATCTTCCCAGCAGAGCACGGGACACCGCTGTCCTTTGCGGGTTTGCAGACGGGTGCGTGCATGCGTGTGTGTGTGTGTGTGTGTGTGTGTGTGTGTGTGTGTGTGTGTGTGTGTGTGTGTGTGTGTGTGTGTGTGTGTGTGTGCATGCGCGCGCGCGTGTGTGTGTGTGTTCGATGTGCATGCTTGTATTCTTCAGTGTATCTTGCTATTGATATCTCTTGTTTCACCTGTCTGACGACCAGCTCTTCTGCACCCCATGTTTTCCCCCTTTGCTACGCTGTTGCTGCTGCGTCGTCGTTGCAGCGCAATTGCCATCATGGATCCCTGCGACGGGCGCCTTGTCCACTTCCACAAACACGTCGTGCCGGGCCGCATCCGCTCCATCGAGGTACAGCCTTCCTGCCTTCCCCCCCCCCCCCCGCCTGAGCCCTGGGAGGTTCGCCCACGTAGCCCTGCACGCGCGTGTCTGCTTAGCGACCCACATGCGAGATTGCTCCTTGGCATGGAGATGCGCTCCACACCACATGTTTGGGCTGGTGTGCCTCACGCCTGCTGCTGCTGCTGTTGTTGTTTCGCGCACAGGTGTTTGGTCACGACCATTTTGCTGCCATTGCGGGCGACTTTGCAGACATTGTCATTGTGCATCTGACAACCATGAAGGTGCGAGCACGTGACGTCTGTGCAGCGATGCCTGGCAACGCTGTGACCCTGCAACAATGCGCACTTGCACGTGCATGCACTCATGTACAAGTACCTGCACACAATCACGTATTCATGCCTGCAAGCACACACACACACACACACACACGTTCACACACACACGCACACACACACACACAATCCCTCTATGTCTGCCTTTGTCAGACGCACCACCTTCTTCGTGGATACATTTCCGCTGATTGGCACGTGTCGCTTGACACTCTGACATACAAGACACCGTCAGGTGTGTGATGGTGGTGGCAGCAAGAGCAGGGATGCTGCAGGAGGGGGGGGGGTCGTTGTCACTCCAATCTTGTGTACACACACGGCATGTGTGGAAATGATTATGACAGGGTCATGGACATGTCAGTCACAGTCAGTTGATTGTGTGCATGCACACACGCGCTCACACACACTCACTCACGCGCTCTCTTACCTGGCCAATTGTACAGGGGAGGAAAGCACGGGGCTTGTTGCTGCGAGCGCGTCGGCGCACGTCAGCATCTTCCCGCTCAACTGGCAGCAGATGACGACCGACACCAAAGGCCTTCCACTCCACTCCGTCCGCTCGCAATTTCCGAAAGTGTGCGGCGTGGCCTGGGCCCCGCGCTGCCAGCACATCATCGCTGTGGCCGGCAGAGCAAGCTGCGAGGTGTGTAGTCACGCGCTTGTGTGTGTGTGTTGCGTGTGTGTTGTGTGTTGCGTGTGTGTCTGTTGTGTTGTGTGTGTGTGTGCGTGTTGTGTTGTGTATTGTGTTGTGGGAGCGGAATCGAGAGGTGGATTGCTGGCGGTTAATGGTACTGGCTCATATTGCACACCATAATTCCTGTTGGCGAACACACGTCGCTCACACCACATGCACATACATGCATTCTTCTTGCACTTGCGCGCATTTGACATGAATACACTCACACTGGCAACGATGCCAACACGCACACACACACGCACGCACGCACAATCACACAGCTGCTGCATGTAAAGACGCTGGCGTGTGTTGGGGTGTTCCCTTTTGATTTTTCGTCACCAACGGGCTGCGCATTTGCGTCATTTGTGGACACGTCATCGCTTCTCGCTTTCTCCCATGTACGACATCGTGGCAACCGTTGTGCACGTTGTGTATGTGTGTGTGTGTGTGTGTGTGTGTGTGTGTGTGAGCGAGGACGTGCTTGCGAGTGAAAACGGAGGCACACGACTGCCTGCCGTCTGTGCGGCAGTCACGTATGCGCACACCCACATGCATACACGCACGCAAGCTCGCACCTCCCCCGTTTTCCTCACACCATCCTCTCTCTCTCTCTCTCTCTCTCTCTCTCTCTCTCTCTCTCTCTCTCACTCTCACTCATGCACATGTGTACGCGTCAGGCCGGTGAGATCAAGTGCTTTGATGTTGCGCAATTTGTGGACGGCAAAAATCCCAACGAGCCATGCAAGGTCTGCCCACCGGAGAACCACCAGGTCTGTGTGTGAATGCATGAGTGCGTGTGTTTTGCGTGTGTGCGTGTGAATGCATGAGTGCGTGTGTTCTGTGTGTGATTGAGGCGTTAATGCCACCTTGCACACATGCGCGTCGTGCATTTCACCATCTTGCTGCCACCGAGCGTCACATCGGAGCGGTTGAGCACGTCTCATTCGGTGTCACTTCTTCTCCACCGTCGCTGTTGCACCAACAGGACCAGAGGCCAAACATTGAGCCCGTGGCGCTGGCACTGACGTCAACGCTGCAGCTGCAAAATATTGAGGTGAAGACAAAAGCTAAAAGCAGTCGCATTGGGGAGGGGGTGGCGGAGTGATGCTCCCCGCTGTTATGGTTACACGTCAATGACTGACACACACACACACACACACACACACACACACACACACACACACACACACACACACACACACACACACACACACACACACACACACACACGCATGTGAGCAGGAGGGTCCTGTGTGCTTTTCTGCGAATCGCATTCGATCTGACTCTGACATTCCGCTGATCACGGCCGCGTCAGGTCGGTGGTGATGGTGTTGGTGGTGATGGTGTTGGTGGTGATGGTGGTGCTGTTCTTGTTGCTGGTGTTGTTGCCCTGTGCAAATTGGTTGTTGCCTTTTCACTTACACCGCAGCGTGCGGGCGCGAATGCTCGCGTCCTTCACCTTGTACTGCCTGGCTTTAACACTGCCCCAATATGCACGCCCTCACGCGCATGCATCAACAGCAGGCGGTCATGTCCATGGCGTGACGAAAGTCGGCCCAAATCTCAAGGCGAAACTGCATGCATCGTTCGCAAACGCATGGACCCAGGTACGTGTGTGCGTGCGTGCGTGCGTATGTGTTTGTGCGTGAGTAGGTTTTGCGGGCGTGTGTGCGAGACAGACCGTCATCTTGAACACATGTGCACCATCAGGCCCTCATATCCCGTCGTGTGTGTGTGTGTGTGTGATTTGGTTGTGTGTGTGTGTGATATGGTTGTGTGATTGCCAGAAACAACTGGACCAGCTGCCGTTTCTCGATGCAGACGACAAGATTGCCACACTGCTCACGCTCAAGGCACGCGCATTCTTTTCGCCGTGTTCGCTGTCATAGGGAAAGAAAAGCGGGCGACTCAGCTGCAGTGTCAAAACAACCCATGACACACACACACACTCACTCCCCTCACTCACTCACTCCCCTCACTCACTCACCCACCCACTCACTCACCCAGTCACCCACCCACCCACTCACTCACGCACGCACAAAACCATTTGTGTGTCCCAATTGACCTTTGCAGAATGAGCAGAGCAGTCTGAACTCCGTGCATGTGTTTGGGCTGATGTCGGGCGATTTGGTTGTGTGCGACACGGCGCATCTGCTCTGGAGGTGTGTGTGTGTGTGTGTGCGTGTGCGTGTGTGTGTGCATTTATGTGTATGCAATTGTCAGTGTGTGCGTGTATGTATGTGTGGGTGTGTGCAATTGTCGGCATGTGTGATTGACTGCGGGTGTGCGCGCACCGTTCTTCAGGATCGAGCCACATCCGTCTTTCGTTCGATTGTTCCCTTCTCAGTTCAGCCCCCCCCTCACTCACCCGTGTGTCCGCGATCATGCTGCGTTGTGCCTCATCAGTCTGTTTGACCGTCCGTCCAAGTACGCGTCGCTGTTCAACGACGCCCCAGCCTTGCGCCTGCACGCCCACCAGGGCCGTGTGCGCTGTTTGTTCCACTGCCGCGGGTCCCTCTCCAATATCTTCGGTGCGCTGTTCGTGTTGTTGTTGATGCGTGCGGTGATGCTGTTTTGATTGCACTGCCTGCGTCTGGATCTGTTCTTGTTCATTCATTCGCATCACCACACGTGTATTGTGCATGCTCGAGAGTGTTTGTCAATGCACTGCATGCCCACGTGCCCCACCTCAAACACGTGCCCCAGCTCACACACACACACACTTCACATCACCTCCCCCCTCACGAATCAGTGTCGTCTGGAGCGGACTTTGATCTGCACATATGGGACCGGCGCACCATGAAGCGCATCCACACGTTCAACCAGCAGTGCGGCGAGGTCGGGCGGGCAATGGAGCGCGCGGCTGTCACATATGTGCTCTTGTGTCTCCTCGTGTGATAGTTTTTTGGGATAACCCGTTGCATACGTTCACACATACACACACATACACACACATACACACACATACACACACATACACACATACACACATGCACACACGCGCTTTCCCTCGCCCTGCAGGTGACGCGGGTTGGGCATCTGCACATGGACCTGAGCCCCGTGTGGCGCCAGTGCATCTTCACCGCCGCCACAGACCACTCCATCGCCATCTACAACCTCCTGCACATGACGTGTGTTCTGCGCTTCGCCGGCCACGCATTTCCCGTGCAGGTGCGTTGGGTGAACTGAACACGATGCAAATGGCGTTCTGTTGTCGTCGTCGTTGTTGTTGTTGTTTAAGTTGTCGTTTAAGTTGTTGTTGTTGTCGTTGTTGTTGTTGTTTAAGTTGTTGTTGTTGTTTAAGTTGTTGTTGTTGTTGTTGTTGTTGTTGTTGTTGTTGTTGTTGTTGTTGTTGTTGTTGTTGTTGCTTGAATTTCTGTTCACTCAACACAACAACAGAACAGACCACAACGTAACTGACGCTCACGCCCCTACCGCTGCCGCTGCGAACTTTGGGTCACCAGTCCATCTACTGGCTGCCACCGGAGGAGAGCATGGTAGTGTCGTGCACAAACGGCGCGGCGTACATCTGGCAGCTGGAGACGGGCCATCTCGAGGGCACGGCCTCTGGGCAGATTGCAAAGAACATCACCGCATCTGCTGTGCCGTTGGACGCAAAGGCGCCCGCAGCTGTTAGCGGCGGCGTCTCTGTCGTCACGGGTCGACTCGACAGCGCCGGCAACGTGGTGAGGCACACTGACGCACGCACACACGCACATATGTTGGATGTGTCATGATTGAATGTGTGTGTGTGTGTGCGCGCGCGTGTGTGTGCGTTTGTAAGCGTGCGTTTGTGAGAGTGTGTGTATTTGATAGTGTTTGTGCGTCTGTGGATGCGAATCACTACAGCAATGGCTGCCTCCAACTCATTCGCACTCGTGTCACTTTGCTTCACTTCACTTTGTCACCTCGCTGCCACGCAGGTGCTGTTTATTCAAGTCAACCTGGAGGAGACCGTCTCACGCCTGCACAAGCTCAACGACACATTCTACCTGTACGGTCATGACATGGTTTCATCCATTGACATGGGCATGTGCTGACTGCGTGTAGGGTTTAGCGGTGATGCAGTCCGTTACGCGCTGCTGTCGTTGATGAGTTCCGGGCTCCTTGCAACGATCAACTTTCAGTGTCACACCACGTTCTTTCAATGGTACACTCAACCCCCTCACCACACACACACACACGCACACACACACACACACACACGCACACACACACACACACACACACACACACACACACACACACACACACACACACACACACACACACACACACACACACACACACACACGTGTAGGAGTTTGTTGGATGCGGCTGTGGAGCGGCGGGATGACAGGCTGCCGGCTCGAACACCGCTGTCACCGTCGCACCTGAGCCCGCACCGCCTGACACGCAAGCACACAATGCACGACAACGACGAAGATGGTGATGATGACAATGACGATGATGGCGTGAGCGCCAACACAAGCGCCGTTGCCGGTGGTGGCGAGGACGGGGAGGACGTGTTTGGTGGCCCCGTGCATCGCAACACCAGCATCCGCCCAACAACAGACTTTGACGACCCGGAACACGACGAGGACCATGAGGAGGAGGAGGAGGAGCACCACAACAGCGGCAGCGGTGGTGATGGTCGTCGCCATCATCACAAGAGCGCGACGCGGGCGGCGCTGGGCGGTGCGTCCACATCGTCACAACACCGGCGCAGACAGCCGGTGGGACGGCGCATGTCGCACACAACCACGCCCTCACGGCTCCTGTCAGCGCCAGCACCACACCACCACCACCACCACCACCACCACCAGCAGCAGCAGCAGCAGCAGCACGGATCGCCCGCGGGGTCACTCACGTCGTCTCCGCAGTCGTCGTCAACACCAAAGCCGCGGCGCCAGCGCCAGACGTCGTTTGTGGAGGATGCGGAGGACGAGGGCCTGAATGCACGCACAGAGCTCGCCATTCTCGACTTTGTGCTCTCGCTGCTGCTGCGCTGGGAGGACTCGACGTTTGATCTGAGCAAAGTGCACCTCGTTGGTCCATGCAAGCACGTGGCGTGCGGTGTCTCTGGGTCTCACGCCAAACCGACGTTCCTGCTGCCGAACCAGCCCAAGGAGCGGCGGTGGCAGCTCACGCCGTACTTTGTCACCATGCACAGCTTTGCCGTCTACGTTCTCCTCAACGCCGTCTCGGTGCGCCGCTGTGTTCACTCACAGAGCGGGAGAGGGGGAAGGGAGGGGGAGGATATGTTTGCTTGTTTGTTTGTGTGTGTGTGTGTGTGTGTGTGTGTGTGTGTGTGTGTGTGTGTGTGTGTGTGTGTGTGTGTGTGTGTGTGTGTGTGTGTGTGTGTGAACGTGCGAGGGAAGCGTGCTTGCTCAACATGCCCATCTGGAATGTGATAACTGCTCACACGCACGCACGCACGCACGCACGAATACACACATACACACGCGCACACACGCACACACACGCACACACACGCACACATGCACACCACGCACACCCACGCACACCCACGCACGCACACACATACATACAAACACGCGCACTCAATCATTTACTTGACACGTGCAGGAGATTGAGTGCCAGGGGGAGAACCAGGCGCTGTGGCTGAGCATTGTGCCGCACTTCCTCGATGATCTTCATCGCGATGTTGCGCACACGGCGCCGAGTGACATCCGCTTGCTAGCACGGTTCTGGCAGGTGCGGCATGCAGGAGAAAAGGGAGGGGGCGTGCTTTGTTGTTGTTGTTGATGCTGCCGATGACGGTGGTGTTTTTTTTTCCGCTCAGGTGCTGTGTACTTCTCTTTCTCTTGCTGCGCTTTTGTGCATCATGGTGCCTTCACCAACTCATAACCAAGTGCACGCGTACTCACACATACACACACATGCTCACACATGTGACTGTTTCACGCGTGCTTCCACAGCATCGCTGCGAGGAGTTTGCCGAGGGAGCGCGTGCTCTCATTCGCAGCGGCGTCTCCCGCGTACGTGTGTGTGTGTGCGTGTGCGGTGTGTCCATGAGTACCAACAACAACGAAACGATCATCCACCCGCTCACTCCAATGATCGTTCACGCAAACCGCTTACTTGTCTGCTTGCTTGTGTCTTGTGTTGGTTTTTGCTGCGCATGTGTTCAGCTGAGCGACACAGACCGCCGCGGACTGCTGCACCAGCTGGAGGCGGACACCCCGCAGACCCTGGACCACATCTCAACTGCAGACGTACGATCGAGGTGGTGGTGGTGGTGGCGACTGTGATTGTTACAAGCTACACTCCGTTGGATGACATGTGTACACAACAAGTGCACACACACACACACACACACACACACACGCATACATGAGTTCATGTGCTGACCCGTGTTCTCATTCGCCATCCACAATGATCACCATTGTGGCAGGTTGAAACGCTGATTCTGGAGACGATTCTGATGGATCTTGACCTGGCGACATTCAAGAACACCGAGCAGCTGGTGGCGCTGCTGGAGCGCATCATCATGGCGCCAACCATCAGTGAGTTGCCCTGGGTGCTGGCGTTGGAAAGTGCGGACGGTTGAGGGAGGGGGGATGGACGTGCAAATGTCTTCGCGTGCATGTGCTTGCGTTGCCGCTGTAGCTGATACAAACATCCGTACCCATACACGCACACACGCGCACACACGCACGCACACGCGCGCACACACACACACACAATGTCCGCTTTACTCGCCCGTTGTTCATCCTGCTCGCTGCAGGCACTAGCGTCCGCGTGCTGGCGATCACGGCGGTGACAGCTGGGTGTCAGACGATGCACGTGTCGCATGGCAAGCGCTTGCAGTCCATGCTAGTCACCATCATTCGTCTGGCCAGCGGGCACGACACCACGCTGAGCGCAGCGTGCCTGCATGCACTGAGTGTTGTCGTCACCAAGTCCCCTCGCGCGTTTATCCATGCGCTCACGTTCTTTGTGGAGCGGGACGACGCCAACTACTCCGAGGGCATGCTCGCGGTACGATGATGATGACGACGACGAGAGAGTAGCGCTGTAGGGCACACATGCATGTGTTTCACACTCATTGCTCTTCCTTTCCTTCCTCACATGCACACTCTCGCGCATGCACACTTGCACCCTCCCAAATGCACCTCCATCCACGTGCACACTACGCGACCTTGCTTGACCGACCGCGCCCTGGCTGCACAGTTGCTGCGGAAGTTGGTGCTGCGTCACCCGTCGTCGCTGCTGGATCAGCTCGAGACAATCGTGGACACTGTCATGCGCACGCTTGATCCAAACAAGACCGCCCGCACCAAATGCGCAAAGGTGGTGATGTGGTGTTTGTCTGTCTGTATGGGTGTGCGTGTGTGTTTGCGTGTGCGTGTGTGTGCGTGCGTGTGCGTGCGAGTGTGCGTGTGTGTGTGTGTGTGTGTTTGCGTGCGTGTGTGCGTGTGTGAGGTGATGTCGAAAGGACGGGCAAAGAGTGCGTGAGAGTTTGGTGCTTTGGCTGTATTGTAATAACTACGCCAGGGCTGTGATACGTGTGTGGCACTTGGATCTGTATCCCTCACAATCAATCAACCACTGTGTGTTGTGCGAACAGCTCGCCAAGCGTGTGCTGTCTGACATCTGCCGCACATATCCCATGATTGCGCGCGTGCCGTCAACGTCGTCCGCCACAGCACGTGCGTCAGCGATTGTGGCGAGCGGGGAGGAGTGCACCAGCCCCACCCTCATCCCCATGCATGCTCTGTGCGTGCTTGTTCGCACCGTATCACTTCACACGCTGATGATACTCATTCCCGTACGCTTGGTTGCGTTCACTCCCTTCCACCTTGGGTACCACCAACGCACAACACACTGCGGTGCAGGCCTCGCTGTGGGCGCTCAGGATGGCAAGCTCACCATCTTCGACCTCAAGACTGCAACAGTGTGGAAGGTGCGTGTCGCGTGCATGCGTGCATGTGCGCGTGTTTAATTTTACATCGCTCATGACACGGCTTTGAATGTGCCACGTGCTGCGAATGTGCATGGCCAGGTTGTGCAAGCGCATTCAGCGCCCATCTCGGCCACAGCCTTCGACCCCACGTGCAAATACCTCATCACCTTCTCTCTCGTGGAGAAGCACTGGCGCGTGTGGCAGGTATGTGTGCCTGTAGTGATTGTGTACGCGTCGCATGCGCTGTGCGGTGTTTTCAGTGCGTTGCGTTTCTTGTGTCCTGTGCTGCTTCAAT